GAACTAGACAAGCCCAGTCAGCACATCCTTTCGTTGTTAACCTCGAAAGATGTCGAACAGCACTTTATCAAGACTCCTTCATCCATAGAACGGCTAGGCTCTGGAATTCATTGCCTGTGGAAGTATTCCCAACGACATATAATCTCCAAAAATTCAAAGAAAATTCCAATACCTACCTCCTGTCCCTATCCTCCCTAGGAACGCACGATGTTCTTTGAACATTATAGGGATTCCCTTTCGTGCGCTCCAATCGATAAAAAAAAAAAAAAAAAAAAATACCCTTATCTCATGCTAAAGACCTACCCTCTGGCGTAGGCCGAACTTAGGCCCCATTTTGGCATCAGGCCGCCTACAGCATTTCAAGAGATGAAACACACATAGGGTGATGTTACATTGGTGACAGCGGTGGGATGTGATTTTCCAGAAGGGGTTGAAGAGGGTGAAAAAAAAGGGGTTGAAAAAATTTTTTGTTTGTTTTTGTCGTTTTGTTAGTTTAAATATAGTAACTAGGTGATATATTGGGTAAATAGGGGTATATGACCACTAATGGCAAGAAAGTTTCACTAGTATAACAGTAAATTGTTATAGATTGGATAGGTGTAGTAGGTCTCAATAGGGTTTTCAGGAACTCTGAAGGACGTATCCTGGATGATATTCAACGGAGTACGGATTTCAGTAGGTATATTTAATATTTTTTTTGAGGTAGCCAAAAAAGTGTATGATAACTCAAAATTAGTACTAGGAAATTTGATAAGTTGAAAGTTGAAGTTGAAATTGTTCATTATTTTGGTATTTGATTCTGATAGGTTGAATCTATTGAAGTGTATGGATGAGTGAGCGAAAGAATTTCTCTTCTTTATTCTGTGTTGTTCCGGAAAGTTGATAAAATAGCGAAGAGAAGGAGTCTGCGCTTCAAGAAGGAATTGACAGACAGAGGGTAGTTTGACGCTGTTATTTATATTGTCATATAGGTTCTGATTCGGGTTCCAGTGATGATCAAGAAAGGATACACAAATAAGGACTTGTCTTGGATTACTACCCCATTTGTTGTTTGTTTCTGGAAATATTCAATTTCCTTGTTGGGAGCAATTTGATTATTTTTGTTCTTGTGTGTATATATGTATGTGGATTGTCTGACTCTTACAGGGTGGAGCTATCAGAAAAAAAATTTATTGTCTTACTGTAGTTAACATAATAATAATAATAGTCAGTTGCATATTAGAACATTGTCAATTCTATTACAGCAAATAGCAGATCAACCAGGAAATACATTCCGCTGCTACTAGCAGACTTTTGGATTGCAAGTTTTGTTTTTATAGTGACAGATATCGAAGATTGATTAATTTTTTTGAATGGTGATTGAAATAGTTGAATGATCGAATGGCTACTTCAAAATCAGGATAGGGTTTTCAGGTTGACGAGAAGAAGAAGCCAAATATTTTGCGGTAGGGGAAAGTTGCTTTTTTGCGTAGAAATAGTCAAAGCATGTCTTTTCCTCCCCCTACTAACAACACTTGCATAAACACTCCTGGTGGTGGAGCGCCTAACATGATACCAGCACCACCTGTATTGAGAGAACCGGCCATGTATTCATTAGGGATGGTGGCAACTACGCTAGATAATTTCTCTGGGAAAGATGCGGCGAGATATTTTGAAAAGTTAGAATTGCGTGCAAAATTAGATGGTTGGTCGGAGGATAAAACTCTCCAGTTATTCAAATTTAAGCTTATAGGTGAGGCATACAACTACTTCAAATCGGATACAGGGTTGGACTTGACGAATTATTCAGCTCTGAAATCTAGGTTTTTGCAGAAATTCACTCCGTTTAGGTTACCTGGAGAGAGTCAATGGAATTTAAGCAGGTGTTTTCAGAGACATGATGAGGATGTGTCGTCATTTTGTACTAGGTTGAGAATTTTAGGAGCCAATTTATTACGGAAGGATTTAGGAGGGGCTACCGTGGATGAAGAGACAGGAATAAGGAAGAAAAATAGGAAATTGCTTTTGAATCAATTCAAGGGGGGGTGCGCAAAGACCTGATGAAAGAGACGGGTATTCTATTGTTGCGTGAGCCTAATCTAGATCTAGAAAAGGCTGAGGAGCTGGTGAAGCTGCAAGAGACGACTTTCATGATGATACAAGGAAGGAGTGCGAGCATGCGGATTTCTATGGTCGATAATGAAAGTCTTTGTCATTCCTGTGGAAAATCTGGGCATTTCGCTAGAGGGTGTAGGAGTTCCAGAGGGACTAGGGGTTCATTGAATCCCAAGATGGGGAGGGCATGTTACTCGTGTGGGCAAGCAGGACATTTTGCAAGAGAATGTCGGAGAGTGCCACCAGGAAGTCAACATGATTGTTTTTTGTGTCATCAGAGGGGGCATTGGGCAAAGGATTGTCCAAGAAATGAGAGGAATACAGGGCGATTAGGTTTTCGAGAGGTCAATAGGGAGTCTTGAGGTAGTACTGAGACTCAACAACGAGATCGCAATCCAGTAATGAGGGGAGCTGTCGGAGACAGGGGTCATAATTCACAACCTGAGACTCAGAGGGAGGTGAATCAGTCAACGGGTGCTATACCAAAGCAGAGACAACAATCTTCCTCTTTTTCAGGTTCACGCCGAGACGATCAAGGTATTGATAATTTAAACTGTTGAGGCCAAAGCCCTACTGCCAGGATGGAGGCCAGAGGCGAATGAAGAGGCAGAACAATAATCTTGATGAATATAACGATGAAGTAGGGAAAGTGCGTGTTATGCTAGTTCCTGAGGTAGCCTCAAGAAATATAAAAGACATTCCGCACATTATTCGAGTGCGGGTGAATGAAGTTTCGGGTCATTGTTCAGTTGATACAGGGGCAGCGGTGACACTCATTCAGAGTAAAATGGTTCCTAGGAATCAAATAAACTCTATGGGAGCGAATAAATATCAGCTAACTAGCGTTACTGGTCATTACTTACGCACTTGGGGTACTGCTGATATTTTAATAGGACCGGTAGAGAGTAATCAAGGTACGACATGGACTGCTATTGTATGCGAAGATGAAATATTGGGAACAGTTCAGGTACTATTAGGAAGAGATTTTCTGTACGCTAATCAAGCATTAATAAACTATCAGCAAGTACCATCTATTACTATTTGGGGAAGGTGCATTCCTTTCATATATGAGAAAGGAATTGATGTAAATATGTAAAACCGATGTCATGAAATAGGACAAATAGGTAATAAAGAGACTGAAACAAAGGAATTGAAGTCGATGGAATTCAGAAGAAGTTACGTACCACATAGACCAAAAAGGAAGAATATCCCGAAGCGAGTTGATTATCGGAGAGAAGTCAAAAAATCTCAGGAACTCGAAGATTCTGAGGAATCTGAAGAATGGATAGAATGGCTCGAAATCGTAGAAGATTTTTATAAAGGTCGAGTTACTAAAGACCCTTCAGATAATTATATAAACATAGAAAATATTGAAGAAAATGGAGATATATCCGTAAATCAACTAGTATTTATGAAAGAAAATTGAGGGAAACACGAACGATACCTCGTAGACAGAAATAACGACGAAATCAAAGTGCGTAGACGTTAGTACCCAAACCGAATTTGACAATCGAATGGACGTATTAGAAAATGAAGCAATAGAAGTAGTGACGGCGTTGAATAATATGGAGGATATAGAAAAGGAAAATGCCGTTTGTTCGGCAATTTCTACGATTGAAAACCAAACCACTGAGGAAACCATAGTGGAAATTCCTGGACATACTTGGGAAACAGACATAATGTTAGAAAATGATGTCACTATTCCAGCTCGCACAGAAGCGATGGTGTACGCAAAACTTAAGGTCAACTTGAAGGGAAACTCAATAGTATGCGAGCCAATAGAATTAGGGAATGGATATGTTCATACAGCTAGCTGCTCGTTAGAAAATTCCTCGAAAATTTGGGTACGAGTTCTCAATGTATCCTGTAAGGAAATTAGACTTGTGAAAAACCAGAAACTTGCGAAGGCTATTACTTGCAATAAAGAAGAGGGAAGAGACGTGGAAACTGAGTATATTATTGGACAATTGAACAGCACAAATATCGAAGGGAACTTAGAAGGATTCAATCTTGAACACCTAGATGAAAAAAGACAGGAAAAACTTGGAGGAAAACTTCGAAATTATCAGGACTTGTTCATGGAAGAAGAGGATAACTTGACAAGTACTACGAAGGTGAAACATAGTATAACCTTAGAGCCCGGAGCACAACCAATATGTAAAGCACCCTATAGAATTCCGTATCAACAGCGAGAAGTTCTACAAAAAGAAATCGATAGATTGATGAACGCAGGTGTCATCCGTTCATCATCTAGCCCGTGGTCAGCTCCAGTTATACTTGTCACAAAAAAACTACCTAATGGAGAAGATAAGGTAAGAATGTGCATCGATTATCAAGGAATGAATACTGTGACTAAAAAGGAATATTATCCCCTGTCTAATATTTCGGATTTAATTCAAGGTTACAGATCAGGAAGTGAAGCATTGTTTTCGATCATCGATGTTGCAGAAGCGTACCATCAGATAGATGAGGAAGATAAGGATATCTCATTAACCGGTTTCAGCACGTTTCAAGGCCACTACGAGTATACTAAAATGCCATTTGGCTTAGTCAATGCACCGTCAACATTCCAGCGATTTATGAACATCACATTAGCCGGGCTCACAGGAGAACTTTGCATGGTTTATCTAGATGATATTATTATTATTTTTAATTCCGAGGAGAAAGACAAGCATTTCGAGAGGTTAGAAAAAATTTTCGCAAGGTTGAGAGAAGCAAATGTCAAATTAAAGGCTAAAAAGTGTAGCTTCTTACTCAAAAAAGTAAAATATTCAGGGCATATGATAACACAAGATGGAGTGCTTCCAGATCCTGATAAAATCGATTCAATACATAAATTTCCTAAACCGAAAACCATTCGAGGTGTACGATCGTTCCTAGGATTGGTAAACTGGTATCGAAGATTTATACCGTATGCATCTGAACTTATTACACCACTGACGAATTTGACTCGAAAAGAAACAAAATTCGAAATGACATCTGAAGTACTTGACTCCATAGAAAAGTTGAAGGAAACTTTGACATCGAATATGATTTTGATTTTTCCTGATTTCAAACAACCATTTATACTAGCTGCAGACGCGTCTGGGTTGGGAGTAGGAGCTGTTCTCAGTCAAATCAGAGACGGATATGAACGACCTGGGGCATATGCTAGCCGAAATTTCAAAAAGGCAGAATTAAATTATTCTACTACAGAGAAGGTACTCTTGGGAGTGGTGTTTGGAATTCAGACTTTTAGGTGTTATTTATATGGAGAGAAATTCACTGTGATCTCTGATCACCGGCCATTGAAATGGTTATTGTCATTGAAGGATCCAGGGTCGCGACTGACAAGGCGGGTTCTGACACTGGCGGACTATGATTTTGAGGTGATTCATAGAAGAGGAAAATTACACGGGAACGCTGACGCGCTTAGTCGCATGTTTTGTGAAGAAGATCACTACATTGATTTGGAATATGAAGATTATTTAGAGTATCAGAAGATTCATCAGATACCTCGAATGAAAAATTTGAAGATGAAACAGGGAGACCTATTTTCAGCGCCAGAAGAGTGGGCACTAGCACATTGTGTGTCACAGGACTTAGCTATGGGTAAAGGTATAGCATTGCAATTCCGAAATATATATGGTAGTGTAGGAAAATTGGGACAACAACAAAAAAATGTTGGAGAAGTTGCGGAATTGAATTTACCCGAAAGAAATATTTATTATTTGGTTACTAAAAGTAAATATAATGAAAAACCTTCATATAGATCGATATGGAATGCCCTACGTAGCCTCAAAAACTCTTCTGATAGAAACAAGGACCAAGTGATAAGTATGCCGAAAATTGAATGTGGACTTGATGGGCTTGTATGGGAAAAAGTGCGAGAGATGATAGAGTTTATATTTTATAATTCTAACATAGAAATATGTGTTTATGAAGGAACTCTGACAATTGCAGCAGTACATATGCAAGAGAACAGGGAGTTATTGATAGAACCGGAATGGGATCGTTCAGTACTAAAGAGAGCCCAGGATGAGGACTACTTTTGTCAAACATTACAGGAACAAATTGAGGGAAATGAAGATAAACTACTAGGAGCAAAGTATTATTTGCCCAAGGATGGAATAATTCATCGCACAGATGCAGACGGAGATAAATTGATCATTCCTAAAGTTTTTGTAACTAAAGTGATGGAGGACTTCCACGATTCACCTATGGCTGGGCATCAGAGTCAACAAAAGACGTTAGCCAGCTTGAAACGAAGATTTTTCTGGCCGAATATGCGAACTGATGTCATAAATTACTGCACAAGTTGCGACGCATGTAATCGAAGAAAAACTTCGCCCCACCAGAAAAAAGCTCTATTACAAAGATCCACTTCTACTACAGAACCGTGGGAAGAAGACTACTTCACAGAATATGCTGAGGCAATCCCACTACCTGATCAGGAAGCTGATACTATAGCTCGAGCCTTCGTAAAACAGATTATTATTCGACATGGGTGTCTCAAGAAACTGTTAACAGACCAGGGAGCTAACTTCACTTCAAGTATATTCAGAGAAGTATGTCAGGTATTGAAAATAAAAAAGATACAAACTGCAAGCTATGTTCCCACTTCTAATGGACAGATTGAAAGAATGCACAGGGTGCTGAAAGATATATTGTCCCATTATATCAGTGACAATCAGAGAGATTGGAATAACTGGATACCTTTTGTACTGATGGCATATAGGGGAAGTAAACATAGTTCTACGGGATATAGCCCATACTTTTTACTGCACGAAAGAAATCAAGTGCTTTCAATATATGATTATATAAGATCGGGAAGAACGAGGTATGATTACGATGAGAATTATGCCTCCGAACTATTGGAAAGATTGAGGAGAGTATACACAGAGGTATTCCAGAATACTGATAAAAATAAGACCATCAGGGTGGACCAGTATAATAAAAAAACGTCACAGCACCACTTCGAAATAGGAGATAAAGTATATTTGAAAGATATGGGAGCGAAACTAGGATAATCAAAGAAATTGGTGAAGAGTTGTATTGGACCTTATCGCATTATAGAGATCGTTGGTCCTGTAACTTGCAGAATAAGGAAATGTGGAGGGAAATAAGAACAAGTGGTGCATGTGAATAGGCTGAAAGCGTATATCTCGCGAACACTAACGGATCTAACTGGCAGAAACGAGTCCCAAGTACATAAAAGTCAGAAAATAGATGATGAATCGGACTCAGACGAAGAGACAGCGACAGTTGCAAGATTTCATCCACTCATGGTCCCACAGTGGGTGAACCTTGACCCTGAAATGAACAAGCAGAATGAAATGATAAGCGAAGATGATGAATCTAACGACGGACAAACCGAAAGTGAATCTGAAGAAGAGGGGTTGCTGAAAGAACCAATGCCAATGTTGAGAAGGTCACAGAGAAATAGACGACCACCTGACCGGTTGACATATTAACATCAAGATTGGTAACGAAGTAATATACTTCGTTGTTTGTATCCTTTTTTTTTCAGCTCATAATGCAAAGTTGGGATTCTTCAGATTGTGATTCCACTTTGTTTTCATAATTCACAAAATTGAGAGTGATGTTCATTTTCGAACTACGTTGTCAGGCACGAGGTGGCCGCTTATGTTTTATCTGTCTGTCACATCTTGGAAATAACCTTCTTACTGTTATTCCGGTTCATGACCCAGGTGAAAGGGACTATCGCTTACGATTGTGAGGACAAAAATATTGAAACCACCGTTGTTTCAATCCGCGAGGTCGCGAAGTGTCCAGAATTGGAATCCGCGTATAAAAGTGAATCGAGCAGAGTCAAGATTCTGCAAAGGGACGAAATAAACCTTCAACAGGTGTGAACTTGTTTGATCGATGTTACGCGAATTATAACTCACTGTGGCATGCATAGCAATAGTTCTATTGTGGCCGGAGGTATATCCAATTTTATATACCGTATCGGTGCTGAAGAATGTCGAACGCTCCATCGCTACAAATTGTTGAAGATATACCAACAGGACATTGAAAGCATTACTATGAATGGAACCACAACTGCGACCCTGACTATAGGAGGTTCAGTAGATTTGGATGGATCTTGTCAAGGATCAACATACCATGAAAATGGACAGACTTGGAAGAATGTGGTTATCATTGCTACAATAAAAATTCAGGTGACTGATTACCTAGCCAGGGTCAAGATGGACGAGAATGAACTGGTTCTATCAGGAGGAGTTATCTGCCCATTCTTGAAAGGATACTGCTTCGACACAACCCTGGGAGAAATCACGTGGGACGTCAACCCTTTACGAACATGTGAGGAGAAATTCAGCTTGCTTTATAATGGACAGGCAGAGAAAGTTGTCAATCAACTAACTACTGAACAAATAATTGTAGTGGAGGACAGCAGCAAAGTATTCGCGGTAACTCTAGTGAAGAAGATAAATATCTGCCAGATGGAAATATGGCAGACTGAGCATCCCAGAATACTGGTTATTGAAGGAAAGCAGCAGGATCTATTCAATCCGAAGATCAACATTTCACCTCATAATGCAGATATAATGGTGTACGTGAATAGTAAATTCTTGTACGTAGAACAAGCGTACATGCGAAAATTGAACCAGTTATATACTGATACTGTGCACCGGCGATGTCTCTTACAAAGAGAGATATTGTAAAATCGCCTTCTGATGGCGCCACTGGTACCCAACACCCTAAGTCAGCTGGTAAAGGAAAGAGAAGGGTATGTAGGACGTGTACTTGGGGAAGTACTGTATATTATGAAGTGCGTCCCCCGAACCGTAACAATTCGACGAACCGAAAAATGTTACCATGAACTTCCCATTTTAGTAAATAATCTGACCAAATTCATGGGTCCAGTAACAAGAATTATTCAATCCTATGCAGATGAGGTAGATTGTACTGCATTAACGCCACCGTTGTATTTGATAGATGATCAATGGATAGGATTATCTCCCTACCCGACGGTTAAAAAGGCACCAGAAGAGCTATCACCAGAATCACATTTAACGCTGAGCTTTGCCCCTATCCAGCCAATTACACTTGGAATATATACTCAGGAGGAAATAACCAATGCCCAGAGGATTTTGACTTTCGGAAACAAAAGAAAAGCTGTGGAAAACATCATAGCTCGTAGGGTAGCGGGATTGGAGACAACCGGGCAAGGTTTCTCTACTTTAAACATTTCCAACCCGGAAGAGATGAAGGAGTTGGCACATAATACTATGCAGCAAATCTGAGGATGGTTCACAGACCTTGGATTATTTATGAGTGGACTCATGGGATTTTACTCAATATTTAGAATGTTGAAATATGCAATAGAAGTGATTTTAAATGGTTTCCCCATTTACCAGACCATGGGCTGTGGAGTTGTTATATTGGCTAGTCTATGGAATACACTTACTATGTGGGTGACTCGTAGCTATCCCTCTAATCTAACCACAGCAGCAACCAACGCGGAAGGAACAAATTTGGAGCGGTTGGAGGAGGTGAGGACCCCATCAATTTATCCATGCGTCCCAACATCACCTCATTGGACAGAACAACAAAGCAGCCGCGAAATGAAAGAAATGTGAAGAACGAAGTTACCGGGTAACCGAGTTCCTATTCCCCGTGCGCGTTCAAAAGAACTGAGTAGAAAAAAAAAGTTATTTTTCTGGACAATGTCGCAAGATAGGACTCATAAGTGTGCGGCGACATAAATATTAGTTAGGTGTGTAGAAGAAGTCCTGGGAATTTCGGATGTGAAGGTTATTACCTCATCAAGAGGCCCCCAACATTCAACGGCAGCAGTTTTAGGGAAGTGGATTTGTGCCGAAAGAAGGGACGCGAAAAGTTTGTTCGAAACGAGAAAAGTGCGCGAAAGAATAATTGTACTGGGGTAGTTATTAGATTAGCTTTAGTTTAACATTGGGAACACAAGATGTTCATGAACGAAATTCAATTGTTCGTTTGAGAAGACATTGTATGGTAGTCTTTGTTGTCGAAAAGAGATAGCATTTTGATGTTGGTTAGGAGTTTGGAATTCAACTTTTTTGCTTTAGATATAAGCTGAAATATATGTAGAGACACTGTTTGTCTCCTTGAAGTGATGAAAAATTGTTAGGGACTTCTATGTAGTCATAGGTATGTGGAAAAGTGATGGCATGGTGTGGCCAAAACTTTTTCTTTGTGGGGAGTATTGTAGCACCCTGTATGTGAATTGCTTCGCATTGGAAATAGTCTCTTGAAACTCAATCATTTTCTTATACAGACGACTTGGTGATGGGATTGTTTGTCCGAACAATCGGACCTTATCATATCCATACATGTTATTGTGGCTCGGATCAAGTCGCAAAGAGCGCCGAACTCCTGAGCAAGATTTAGTACCGTGAGATCGAAAATATGGAAGAATGATTATCAGTTAATTTTTTATCATGAGGTGCTGATGCTGAGAAATGATGGGAATAAGATGAAGTTGTAGGTTTTCTTAGGCAGGCTGTCTTTCTGAGACATAAGCAAAATTCATAGCGGCCATGATCATAATGGGCGGCACCTAAGAGGAAAATTTAATCTAAGACAAATGGGAATGAACATCGCGACTAAAAATTGAAGACGAAGACCACCGGATTGGCAAGCATAGAATGGAAATGGGATTTTTTTTGTTTTGGTGGAGACTGAAAAGGGAATTTTGCGGGACGAGCGAAGAGGAGTCAGCGACAGGTCGCGTTCGAAAAAGGGTTCGGGCGAAGAAATCGTGAGGGTAGGCTCGCGACAGGTGGCAGATATTCGGAAAAACTTTAGGTCACGGTCGTACGAGAGAGGACTAGCGAGTCTTAGGGAATTCGTTGTCAGTTTGGGAGGATAAATAGAGAATTCAGAAACGCGCAGTGACCGAAACTGAATATTTTTCTGTGGACTTTGTAAAAACAAGAGTTCGATACGGTGGTTTAAGTGAGAACTTTGAGAATCTTATTGTTCGCCCTGAGAGACGAGAGGTGTTCGCCTGTAGCAGCTCACAACAAATAGGAAAATCAGCTCACGGAAAGCTCAAAGAGTAAGGAAATTAAATTTTTCTTGTTAACGTCACTAACAATACCTTTTTGAGTCTATTTTGGGAGGAGAATGTTGTTAATTAGCTTTGAAGCAGCGTATGATCATACAAGGTACTACATAGCCCCTATTCACGTTAGATAAGCCCTTCACATATATATTCATCAAACTAGATAGTTGTTCGTTTCTTAAGTTGAATGATTTTATTCGATATCCCTACAATTCTCTAGTTTAGTTCGATTCTTCAACTCCATTGAATAGTATACATTAATTTGTTTTTAAGATAATTTCCAAACAATTTGTGTCATTTTATTTCATTCATTTTTTTTATTTAGATTCAATAAACAGCTTAACTTGAAAACAGTTTCTTTTACTTCCATTGTGGAATCTTCAATATACCCTTATCTCATGCTAAAGACCTACCCTCTGGCGTAGGCCGAACTTAGGCCCCATTTCGGCATCAGGCCGCCACCTACAGCATTTCAAGAAATAAAACACACATAGGGTGATGTTACAAACTCTCTTTCCCAAAGAGTTAACTTCCATAACTTGGAACTATTTTATCGGCTGATGATGGGCTTATATAAGCCCGAAAAATGTACCATTGATGATCTTCGATCATTTCAATAAGAGTTGTGAAGATGACTTTGGGTTTTTCATCTATGTTCAACATATAGGCTGACATCATGTCACGGTTTTCATTTTGGGAACCCATTACTGTTTTCACCTGGCTGATATGGTTCTAGGAAAGCCACTTCCATTCATCTCCATATACATGGAGTGAACAGTAATGAACCATCTTCACCACCAACACCTCCAAGCAGTCTCATTGTTCTGCAGTTCAATAGTTTCGCAGTCTCGTAGGTACTACGTGTCTACAAGCTTTTCTCAGTGTCCTTTCAGACATTGAACATTCCTACTTATCCAGTTAAATATGGATTTTCTTCTCGAGGTACTGAGATATACTCAAAGTATTCAAATTTCTGAAGTACAACCCAACTGAGCTCCCATTCGAATGATCAAGACTCATTCGAAACTTACGATATCCTGAATGAATACACAAGCATTACAACGATATAGCATATAATCCTTGAATTCATGGATTTTCAGCTATAAGATCCATGAATTTTCAGAATGTTTCCTTGGGGTTCACAAATATTCAAGGATGATTGACAACAACGAATATTCAGAGTTGGTTTCTTCCTATAATGAGGGCTGACATAATTCATCGTCCACCAAACTGCACCACCAGAACATGAGGACAGGGTTGGTAGAACAGATGAATATACTAGCTATTTCCTGGTTATTTGGCATTTTGCTATGATATCTTTTTCTTTAGCTGTGCCTTTTTTTTTCTCTTATCTGCAGTGAGTATTTAATCCATAAAATGCATTCCATGCATTCCAATATTCTTGTTCTTGTCTATCAGAAATAGGGAATCAATGAGTAAGTCGAATATTATATTATGTTGTTCACGGATGACTACGACAATCGTTCTCCTGGGTGTTTCATGTTATGAAATATCGTGAATTCCAATAATTATTCGAATGAGTTACAGAGCTTTGGGGAGAAAACGGTTTGCGACACTGAAATAGTAAGGGTGAGTAGTTTGGGAATAATGAGATGAAATGTTTCACTGAATCAGACCCATTGCTCATGATCATATCATATTCAAGTCTGGACGACGTCACATCGATTTTTCTTCAATCAGACATTTTCACGCCCTTTCATTGTATCAGATACATGTTTGTGACTGTGATATCTCGTATACATTGTTAATATTTTATCACATGGTCGACTAGGTCAGTAATGCACACTTTTTGCAAGGACTGTATACTAGAAGTGCATTTTACCGATAAAAACGTGGGATGGTCCATGATACCGAAAGAAGAAGCTTTCAAAACCATCTGTCGTCGGCATCTCATGAGCTCAAACAATATGTCCTTCTTCATTCCTATATCACAGTCGGACCAGTCGGCATTGTACAATTCTGTTCCGATGGATAAACTCTGAAAATAAAAAAAAACCTTAATATTATAACGTACAACCCAAAACTGATGCAAATTGAAGGATTTATACAATTCACAGAGATTAGAACTAGTGTAGTAAATGAAAATGTGGAGTAATATACAACGATAACTGCAAATATCGCTCATTCTCATCCCAAGTATTTGAAAAGCAACATGTTCTTGAACAAAAGAAGACATGGCTATTTTGAATACAATGAAAATCACATAAATTCAATGGTTTAGTCACTCCTAACTAGGTGTCTACTCAAAAATAAATACCTTTTTACAACAAAACGAAGAAACACAACGAATTCTGTTAGGAGGAAGACACTGTTTGACGCAAAGGCAATAATACATCCTCCAACCCTGACTCTGCAGAGCAACAGTTTTCATGATAATTTGGATTGGAGATGAGAATCGTGTCAAATATCATTGCTAGTGTAATTCGATTCTGACAGCAGCAGTGCCGAGTTAATCAGATCGCAACAAGTCATGCTCAAAATATCATTCTAGTTCAAACAGTATATTTTTCACTAGAGAGTTCAATGAATATGCAGAATGAATTATTGGAAAGTTATTTACTACAAATGTTCAGAACTACCTTCATTTACTGCGAGACAGTAGTAGAGTCTCTTTGCATATCCCTCTCAAACATTTATTCAAAAATTTTTCTTTGCCTATTGCCTGAAATCAGTCCTCATTCTACATTCTCAATCGTTCAGATCAGTGAGTTTTGTTTAAAAAATAACGGATTTTGAAAAAAACTCATTAGGTGCCAAGTCGGGCGAGCGTGCTATTGATTCTGGATACCTATTCAATGATTCATTATGTAATCTTCGGAAGAAATCCATGGTAACTCAAAGTGGAGTGGTATATTCCATAGATGAAGAAACTCAAAGTCATCTGCACATAGAATAAGAAACCCAGAGTCATCTTCACAACATCAATATTCATCATTTCAAAGGTTAACTTTGTTTGATTTTTCGAATGTTCGATTGTCACCTTCGGCCATTTGAGGAAGCATAGGCCCTATTGAAATCACTAGCCCGAACCATTACTTGAATAGAAACTCTTGATGTTTTTATGAGAAACAAAAAATTTCATCATACCTAATCATGGTGCAAACGCCTGTGTCTTGTGCCATTATATTGTCTGGATTATCAATTTTCCAACTTTCTCAATTCCATGACTGAAATCTTCACTGACTCAGAAAGGATGATGGCGAGAATTGGATTGTTATGTTTCCAATAGATGTGTGATATGAAAGAACTGCAATTGAAAGTGTGAACTATACCATCTGACTGAGTGTTCTCTGTGAATATGAACATAATCGATGATTTCTTCACTTGAATATTCCCTAGGTCTGTATGAACATTGAAAACCAAAATAAAATTCAAAAGACTTGAACGCTACAACAAAAAATACATTTATTTGAAAATGAATACTTCGCAACGCATACATTCCTCGATTTAAAGTGAGACTGACATCTTCAAGGCTTTTGCTCAATGAAAATCAAAATGTTCCTTAATTCCCACGCCTGGATTTTGTCTTTTCGCTTTTTTGTGGAGAGGATAATGATCACCCAGTAAATCTTTTTCGGATCAGTGAATCGGCAGAAGCAATCAATCCAAATGATTTTAGGAAGTCATTCAGAAAATGAGGGTCTACCCACAATTTTTTATAAGAATAATGTAACGAAAGATGTTGAATTATTCTTCTATACGGCAAATATGTGACCAAAATAGCTTGCTGAAACAAATCGATCGATGAAATTGAGAAATTATGATCATGAAATTATTCAGATCGATGGCCATCATCAACATCCATACAGATCCATTGAATCGTGAGAGATCTCTAGGGTGATTATAAAACCCTCAAAAAAAATTTAATGACGAAATACAGGCCTGGGAATAGAAGAACATGTCGATTTTTATTAAGCTGGAATATTGAGAATGTAAGTCTTACTTTCATTCGTGAAATTCATGCGTTGCGAAGTTTTGATTATGAAATGAATGAATTTGTTGCAAACATTTCGGTTTCTTCAAACATTCATCGTTTTCTTTCAAATTCTGTGGAAGTTTGAGAGGGATTTCAGATATGATATTCTATTCGATATAAACATTTTGTTGAATTATACCTAATTTTTCAGGTACAAAAGTACCTACTCATCAAATATCGATACATTGATGATAAATATAATGAATCAATTCAATTGATACTATTATTGCCTGCAGTAGTCAGTCATAGTCAAAGTACTGCCAATTCAAATCACTGACATTCTTGTGACAAAACTCTCTATACTAAAGTCAGTCTGACTGACAATGTCCACATTCACTTTGTGCAAATATAAGGTTTTTGTATTAATGGGTTGTTATTTTTACAATTTCAATCACATTCTATTCCATAAACTCCACTTCAACAACATGCACTGAAAATTCTACATTTTTAAAACAAATGTGCTTCAAGTATTTATAATCTCATGCTGTTTGAAATCACTGATTTCTTATTCAGATTGTTTATTCATGTGTTTGGAGTTCTTTCATAGCTTCTCAATCACATGTGGAAGCTGGAGCTATGAAGAATGAATCATATTTTATCATCGAGAATCCATCCTGCATAGGAAGTCTAATAATAGGCTTCTAAAAGCTCTCACATAACTTTGGATCACCCAATATGTCCCTATTCAAGACGAGTCATCACAACTCTGCATAATGTAGGTACTATATTCTCCAGTCCTATCTAATATGCCACATACAAAGATGCACGTGGATGAAATCTGAAAAATAAATGAATGAGGTTGAATCATGATTATTGAACATATTTTTCAAATTACCAATATAATCTTCTGTAGAAATATGTTTGATTGAGGAAAATCAACGAAACCACAGAAAAACACTAGTATTTTTGACACAACGTTCAAATCATTCAGAGACTCGGATTTCGCGGAAGCATGGCGACAAGGGAGATGACCTATCAATCATATCATCATTTTCATGGTCATCAAAAATATTATATTATTTCCCAATATTATGTTCTGCAGAAATATTTGATCGAATTGAAATGAATACTGTATGAGGAGAAACAGCAGAACCACATTAAAACACAATCATTTCCAACACAAAGTTCAGATCATTCAAATTTATGTCGGATTTTGCCTGAACATGACGGATTTGTATCGACCAATAAAAAAGATGACATGCCGTTGTCGTTACTGTGTAAAATGCCGTCAGTGTAGTGAATCTAGAATCTAGTTCCTCATCGTCTGCCAGTGGTTGGGGTCGCATGTTTAAAGCAGACGGCGTTCATAGGAGTCAAAAAACACCTGTATTATTTCGCAGAAAATCAGTTCAATACACACACGATCGAAATATATGAACCAAACATGAGCAAACGGAAAATGTCATGAAGGCAAATGATCGAAATAATATATATCTAGTATCAACGAATCTTTCAGACAAGTCATAGATAGAAAGATAGATGTTTATTCACCACTGAGGTAGGTACATTTGGTACCTATGGTATGTCAAAAATATAAATATGAATATATGACGTTATACAGTGTGTCCCACTTACCATGCTCACCATGGGTATCTTTTTAACAGTGAGAGATACGAGGTCGGTTAAATGACACCAAATGTGGAGTTTGTCAAGGCCAACTATAATGTGAGAAAATATTTTGAAAAAATCTATTCGTTTTTGTTTTATACGCAAGAAACAGAGTTTGATCATTTTCATGTCTCCTCCGTAACTTCTTCATTTATAGAAATTTTCGAATAGAAATTTCACATTCTCATGGCAGTTTTTCTGAGTGATTTAGAAAAAAATATGAAATTCATAACAACTCTTCCAGAATTTGAGATATCAGCACCAACTTCAGTTTTTCAAATGTAGGTCATAGCTCACTATGACTTAGGTACAAATAACCTTTTTTTCCTCTCTCAAATGATATGTCGCAGTAATAGTTTTGTGTTGATAACAACGGAGTTATCATCATTTATACAAAAACAAAAAATTATTTGGAGGCCGCCATCTCGAATTCATAAAATTCAATCAAAAAATCATGATCTCCGACCTCGAAAACCCCCACTCATCAATTTCGGATGGAATCGGACAAAATCTTGTCCGCCATCTTGGAGTAGCAATTTTTTTTCAATTTCAACAAGAATTCCATAATGTATTGTCACTGAATTCACGAACATTTCGGTAGAAATACATTATGGAATTTTTGTTGAAATTTAAAAAAACAAATGGCTGCTCCAGGATGGCCGACAAGATTTGGTCCGATTCCATTCAAAATTGGTAAGTGAGAGTTGTAGAGGTCGGAGATTATGATTTATTTGTTGAAATTTATGAATTCAAGATGGCGGCTTCCAAATAATTTTTTGTTTTTGTATGAATGACGATAACTCCGTTGTTATCAACACAAAGATATTACTGCGACATATCATCTGAAAGAGAAAAAAGTTGGTGCTGATATCTCAAATTCTGAAGGAGTTGGTATAAATTTCATATTTTTCTCGAAATCACTTTGAAATACTGCCATGAGAATGTGAAATTCCAATTCGAATATTTTCATAAATGAAGGAGTTACGGAGGAGTCATGAAAATGATCAAAATCTGTTTTTTGCGTATAAAACAAAAACGGATAGATTCCATCAAAGTACTTTTTCACATCATAGTTGGCCTTGACAAACTCCACATTCGGTGTCATTTAACCGACCTCGTATCTCTCACCGTTGAGAAGAAACCCATGGTGAGCATAGTAAGTGAGACGCACTGTATAGTAAAGAAAAAACAGAAAAAAAAAAAAAACGAGAGAATGATAAAAGAATAGAACACAATCAATACACTTTTGGGTATAATTAAATATTAAGCTCTACATCAGAACATCTTCCATGAATTCTTTCACACTGTAATAGCATTTTTGCAGTAGCAGGTCTTTAACTGTAGTATTGAATTCTCTATCAGGAATAATTTGTTTGATTGAAATTGGCAATTTA